CCCCCCCCCCCAGGTGCTGCATGCCCAGGGCCGACACTCCTCCGGCGCCCCCTCCAAATGCCGCGTGCCCGGGGCCAGACCAGCCCCGAGCACTTGGCGGGCGCACACAAATGGCCCCGCAGGTGCCATGGCACCCGCGGGCACCGTGTTGGGGACCACTGGGTTAGACAAACACTGTCAGGGATGGTCTAGATCAGCAATGGACAACCTAGGCTACCGAGTGGATTGCATGAGTGGCCATCCCTCCTTCATCTCAGTGGGCTGCAAGGCTATTGTAACCAAGTCAGTCTCCTGGGTTAGGGTAGTTTTGCTAACTGTGCTTGGCTACCTAAAATTTCTGGGGTGTGCCAATTGAATTGTAGCAGCTCTTTGATTAGATGCAGAGGGAGCGCATGGCTCTTACAGTCAATACTGTGTGCAATCCGAACGTACTTCACTTCATGTGCCCTTGCTTTACATGGGTGTCACTTTAGTAATACAAGTAGGAAAAGAATGACATGGACAGAAACCAGTGGAATCTGGCAACCCTGAGCATGGGCAACAATAAAACAAGATGTCTTGTGGGCCACACGTAGAACCCCAATGGGGCCGCAGGTTGCCCCCCACAGGTCTAGCTTGTGCTTGGTCTTGTCACGAGTGCAGGAGATTGGACTAGGAGACCTCTCAAGGGCCCTTTTAGTTCTAAGATTCCTTGCATATTCCAAATTTACATTGATTTCATTTACACTTGAGTTAACTGGCAATATAGTCCCCATGCCAGCTCATTCCTAAACTCAAACACAGATCTCAGTGTCCTATTGGTTTGTGGGTATTTTAGTAGTGGGATCCACTATTTTTTGGAGTGAATGGAAGCCTTCTAAACTAACCTATTTGAGGGTCTTAAAATACAAATCTGTTCTACAAAATGACTTTGGAAAAAGGATACCATGAGAGTCCATATGTATTGTTTCTCAAAGAGTACCATTCAAATAGGTAGTTTATAAATAAAAAGATGCTGATCCTAATTTTCATCCCTACAAACAATGTGCTCCCTGAGATGTCCGTAACCCTGCTATGGAATGCTACAGCTGTAACAATTTAAACTTATTGCTAATTCTATATAATACTCAAGCTAGAATAGAATCCACAGCTCATTCTATTTTAGCTCTGTTGGTTCACAAGAGTTGAAAAGCAGTACAGGAGGCCCCCGACTTGCAATGCGATTGGTTCTGGAGGAAGTGTCGCAAGTCAGGGGCATTGTAACTCGAATCCGCATTTACGATAAGTGCCGTGCGCCATCATAAATGCGGGCCGAGGACATAAGTCGGAGGTTTCCAGCCCCTTCCGCACTTAAAAAAAGTTTGTAAGTGCAGGGGGTCGGAACTCGGGCAGTCGCAAGTCAGGGGCCTCCATTACAAATTTGTGTGGTCTCATCTGACATCTCCTGGATGCCTGTGTATTTCCTGTTAGCAAAGTAGTTTTCTCCCAACTTAATAGATAGTAACGGGGAGGAGCAGACCAGTTCTTTCCCCTTTGCCTTGAGTGTAGTTTCCTGCCATTTCTGCCCGCATTTGCCTCCATAGCCTGCCCGTTGGGGAAGCAATCAGATGTGAAACTGGGAAGCTGCCGTGTAAAATAGGTGCCAGATAGCTTTTGTGTTTAATATGTGTGTTACCAGGTGCCCTTTTAAATCCAGTTGAAGCAACGTAATGTGCTTTCGATGCTCTGATCACGGAAATGTTGACTGTTTTCTTTCTCCCCAAGCAGTGCTGGAAGCACCTGTATCTTATTTTTGTAGTAATTATTCATGTGTCCTTTTGTGTATTTAATAAACAGGAGTTGGATAATTCCATAGAGAGGGGGAAGATATTTTTATTGTCATGCTCATAAGAGGCATTTGTTTTTCTGGGTAGCAGCGTGGGTGTGATTAGGAGATCCTTTGTTCTTTTATGAGACGTCCAAAACCTGTCCCTCTCTCTCACTCCATCCTTCCCACCTGGGGCTTTAGCATGTGGACCTGCTTTCAAAAGGAATCACATCTTGGAGCTTGTGTAGTGAAACTCATAGGTGATAACTGTTATCAGACAGAATGTGTGCCTCTGAGCTGGTCTGCAGCCTCAGGAGTAGACAGGAGAATGATCCTTTCTGGAGATTCTTTTTAGTTTCACTGAACTACATTGCAGGGACTTCTCTAGAGATTCATAGTTTGTTTGGCTTCCTCTCCTTTCAGTCTCATTTTTCAGTGCTTTCTGGCACAAGAGAATGGCTGAGGATCCATAATTTGTATCTTACTTCCTTGTATTGGTCCCAGCGTACCCTGTGAAATAGACTTTGAATTTAGCTTTAATCCCTTGAAAAATTTAAACAGAGTCCAGATTAATGGCCCTATTGAGATAATATTCTGGATAATGCTTTTTTTAATGCTATTGTGGCCTTATTTTTACTAAAAAAAACCAAACCTGCAGTTAAAGCATAAGAACGTATTGGATGGATGACTGTTTAATAAAACAAGTGGTAAATGCAGAGGTGGCTCAGGGTTACTGCAAGAAACTAATATTGCAGGTATCTGCAGTCTAAGAAATGGTCAGTCTATATCATGGTCCCCTGACTGCTGTGTTTCTGATCATAATTTCTTCTGCATTTTTTTTTCCATGGGCAGGGGGATGAGGTTGCTTTCATGGTTCCACTGCTAAATAAAAGCAATTGGGAAAAAAATGAGCAAGTTGTCTCATGGGCACTTAGTTTCTTCTTTTTCCTTCTCCGGTTTATGGCTCCGTCTGGGAAGAAACTTGAGTGATCCTGTCTGACGAAATGTGAATGGCAGCTGTCTTCCCAGCTTTGTCATGGCAACCTGCTAATGTAAATACTTGTTTGGTGGTGGGACACACTGTTGTAGCCATCAAGTGCTCTTTCATCCCTTCTACCTTTGTCTGCTGAGGTGCACGACTTTTACATCTGCACAGGAGAAACACATGGGGCTCGTCTACACTGGCCCCTTTTCCGAAAGGGGCATGTTAATTTCACAGGTCGTAATAGGGAAATCCGCGGGGGATTTAAATATCCCCCGCGGCATTTAAATAAAAATGTCCGCCGCTTTTTTCCGGCTTTTAGAAAAGCCGGAAAAGAGCGTCTACACTGGCCCCGATCCTCCGGAAAAAGCGCCCTTCAAAGTAGGAATAAGATCCTCCGGAAAAGGGCGCTTTTCCCAGAGGATCGGGGCCAGTGTAGACGCTCTTTTCCGGCTTTTCTAAAAGCCGGAAAAAAGCGGCGGACATTTTTATTTAAATGCCGCGGGGGATATTTAAATCCCCCGCGGATTTCCCTATTACGACCTGTGAAATTAACATGCCCCTTCCGGAAAAGGGGCCAATGTAGATGTAGCCATGCAGAGGGAAG